ACATCAGGGCCGATCAGAGATGGACCTGGAATGGAAAGAGCCAAAGCGTTTGTCCCCTGTCCCACTGTGACTGTACTTACTTTTGGACCTGATCTTCCTAACTCAACCCCAAATCAGAAACTGGGTTCTGGCGCTGAACCATTCATTTCCTGTGTGATGTCACGTTAGTCACTTTCCCTCTCTGAGCAGGTAGAATACAGGGTTCTGGGGGCTCAGGTGATAGCAGACCAAGGGACATGTGTCCTCAGCCTGCGTGCCCTAGGGGCTTGTGAGCGTGGCTCAGGCCAGCCCCTGGGAAGAAGCCCTGTCCTTCATGATTGCCAGCTCCACCGTCCCTCCAGACAGGTACCCTGACCTGGACTTCATGGGGATACCAAGAAGGCTGTGGTATGTCCCTGCGCTCCAAGAGCAGCTACCAGAATCGTTAAGGAGCCTTTGAACTCCCCATTCCAAATGCTCTTGCCAGAAGCAGACGGTGACAGCCAGATGCATCCTGGCACCTCCCCTCCCCAGTCAGGGACCTTGACCATGAGGCAGCCAGGATAGAGTGGGCGTGCAAAACTGTCATATGTTCAGAAGAAGATGGGCAGGTCAGGGAGGGCCAGCTACTCCCCCAGACACTGGGCACTGTCACAGGCAAGAGGATGTGCAGGTCAGTGTGACCTCGAAGGTTAGAGGTCGCAGTGGCTGGTTGCAGCCATAGCGAGGAAGACTTTTCCAACTGGTGGGTCCGACCAGAGGAGACCTGGCTGAGAAGGGCAGCAGCGCGTGCCCAGCCCCGGGGGTGTGCCAGTTAAAGTTGGATGGGGGCTTGGCAGGGATGTTGGACGAACTGACCCTTTAAGTCACCTCTGTGGACACAGGCAGGTGTACAGGTGAGTAGGAGGGCAGGTTCAAACGGCCCCAGTGGAGGCAGCACCCAGAGGCCCTGGTGCTCATGTTGATCTGAGGCTTGGGAGGCGGTGGGGCGTGGCTGGAGGGTCTGCTGCAAATGCCTCTCATCCGCCTACCAGGGCCACCCACAGCCCCCTCCGGACCAGCCAGCCTGCTGGGCTGGTGAGCCACGCAGGAGTGGCGATGGCAGGAAAGACGCCCGACCTTGGGCACACGTGCTTTGTGAAGGAGGATGCTCTCCCATGGGAACAGAGACCCCACGTGGGGTCTGAAGAGCTCGGAGCGTAAGAGCCAGAGGGGGCCTTGAGGCAGTGACTTGGCCCGCCTCCTCGTTTTAAGGTGGTGGCCTTAGAGGGAAAGGCCACGTGGCAGTGTCAGTCCCCTGAGATGCAGGCTGGGGCTCCGTCCTTCAGGGCTGGGTTGCCTGTGTTTCACCGTCTGTCACTATGTCTGGGACTGCTATTAGGACACACGCGGAGACACACACAGCCGCACGCTGTATGTGGGAAATGTCCCTCCTGGCAGGGGCTGGGTCGGCTCCTGGAGGCGCCCTTAGTAAAGATGCGCAGAGGTGTGGGGAAGCCAGGAGGTGGGATCAAGCACGTGTGGCTCCGAGCCCACGGGTGGCTTTAACGGCAAGGGGTGTTTGCAACGTAGGCCCAAGTGAGCTGTTATTAGGAACTGGTCCCACTGCCAGGGGACCCTTGAAGTCCCTCGATGCCTGTGCCTTCCTCTGTAAAATGGGCACATAATCCCCACGTTGAGGACTGGGAGGAGGTAGAGTATCTGAAGCCCCTGCACACGGGTACGTAGGCACACAGCACATAAGCTGTAGTGCACACAAGTGCCAATTTCCACCCAGTGGAGTGTAGAAGACGGGTTCCCTGAATCTGACCCCAGCTCTGTTCTTGCCAGTGTCATAGCCCCCAACCTATGACTTAGACACTTTGGTCTCAGTTTCCCCGTCTGTAAGACGGGATGATCACAGTGCCGTACCCGCAGGATTCTGATTCCCAAACTGTATGCCACGGCACCCCAGGGTGCCACAGGGTATTTCCACACTCCAAGGGACACTGTTGGACACTGCAGCAACGACCTCTGAAGGTGGCTCCAAGTTTCAGCATTACGTCACTGCTCTCCTGGATTTGGCACAGTATTTTGCAAAGCCGAGCTTTGGGCCCTTTGGAGTACCCAAGTCGTAGGGGTGGTGGTGTCCACTCTGCTTCTGTGGTTGGGAGGTGGCACTGTGCCCAGTGGGTGCCTACATCCCCGTCAGCATGTCATTGTGACTACTTAGGAATGGGGCGAAAACATTCTGTTTCTGTCTCAATTTAAGCATTTTCCAAAAGGCTACTTAGAGTTTAGGATATAAAGACTTCTGTTGGGATGTAGCTACTTAATCAGTTTCCAGCTTTGGGGACTTTCTCTGGGACCTGGAAATGCCGTAAAAAATTATTGAGATACTAAAGACAAAAACTTCCGATCCATGTAGGGCTGTCGTGGGATGCGCCGAGGGGACAGGACGTGTCCTCTGAATGGTGCCCAGCAGAATAGGGCCCACAGGCCCCTGGGCACCTTTACTCTCCCCCCTGGCACCACGGGGCCTGGCTTAGGTCACCGCTGGACCACTGGCCGAGCCTCCCTCAGCCACAGGGCCCAGGAGAAGGAAGGGCAGAGGCCAGCTCAGCCCTACGCAGCGGGGCACCCTCCTCCACATTTGCCTCTGCTTGATTTCCACCAGCTGCGTACCTACTGTGTGCCAGCCAGCGCGTCCCCGCAGGCTCCCCTGGCGTTAAATCTTGGGTGTCCTTTGGTTCTTTTCCCTGGCCTCCTGTCCGCACCTGCCTCTCTGTCCCCTGGACCGTGGGGATGTGGGCAAGGGGGAGCCAGCTCCATACTGAGCCATCCTGTGCCACCAGGCAGAGCTCGGGCTGTGTCCCTTCCCAAGCCAGAGATGAATGTCTGCGCCAGCGCCGGGCAGAGCACGGGGCGGGGCGGGGCTGCGGGCGCGGCCCTGCGCTAATGGATGTCTAATGTTTGCTTCCTCCATCGCATCTGCGCCGCTTTATAAATGAGCGGCATTAGGGTTATAAAACCGTCGTAAACACGGCCTGCAGTGCCGCAGAGAGCAGGCAGCCGGGGGCCGGCACCGTGCTTGGAAGGGGGATGAGCGTGGCCAGCGCTGGCCACCCCGCCACCCCAGGCCTGCTGACGCGCCTTCCGAGAGCCTGTAGGGGGGAGCAGGTGTGGGAAGCCGGGCTTGGGCTCAGGAATCCTCAGTGCCATTTCCAGGTTAGCTGCCCCCAAACCAGGGGGCCTAGGGCAAGTCACTGGCCCTGTTTGGGTGGTCTTCAGTTTGTCCAGTTTTGAATGAAAATGATGGTCCCATCCCTGCTGTTGATGAGAGAGGCCATCAGTTGCAAGTCCCGGCCAGTGTCAGGGTGCTCCTGGGATCCCCAAGGGCAGGAACACCCACAGTGTCACAGAGCTACCTCAGCCACAGGGCAAGGAGTTCTGGGCGACACCCAAACACGGAAGTCTGTTTCTTGGATTCAAACCTTGCCTTTTGCTAGCTGTGCAACCTTGGGCAAGTTGCTTCATCTCTCTGAGCTTCAATTTATAAAATAAGGATGAACAGAGGACACCTTACAGGGTCGTTCAGAAACGAGATGATCTAACTGTTGAAAGGGCAGAAAACAGCTCCTGCTGCCTGGAGAGCCCTTGAGGTCCAGATGCAGCAACAGGTGCCTCCTGTGTCCAGACCCTCTCTGAGGCAGTCACGGGGTCCCCAGAGCCCAGAGAGGTTGTGCCCCCCTGCCTCCTGGCCCTCTTCAGAGGTGAGGTGACAGGGCAGATTCAGGCACTCACCCTGGGTCACACGGAACACGGCTCTTGGCTGGCTTCCTTCCCTCCCTCAGGTCCCTGGGTCCGTCTGTCCATCTTTCTCACACACACCCCCCGGGGCCTGGAGCCAGTGACAGCAGCCCAGTCACATGGGGTCTCCAGACTTGCTTTATTCATTTTGCTCTTGGAAAACCAGGTGTCCCCTGGGCCCTGCCTACAGGGAGACTCCCAAAGGCCACCACAGCCTCCTGGAGTGGACAGGTCAGAGTCCATTCTTGGCCTCCCACCCCAGTGGGAGGTAGACTCAGGTGGTGGAGGGCCGGGCAGATGTGCCCACCCCACGGCGTCCTTTGTTGGGTCCTCTGTAGCAGTTAGCCAGAGGACAGGCCCCCCACGGCTTGTCCCCAGCCTCCTGATTGTTTGGCACTTGGCTTTGGAAAGCCAGTTTTCCTGAGTGCCTGGCAGGCCAATCGCAGGCCGGGCCTGGTCTCCTCCTCCCGCGGCCTGGCCACTCCCTTCCTGTTTGTCCCCTCCCGAGGTGCTGTTCTTTCCAGGGACCCAGGCGTTCCCACTTGGCCTCTTTGGGCGGCACTGCCCTGGGCACAGCCTCGCCTGTTCTCTGGAGTTTCCTCATCCACGTGGGTGGGCGTGGACCCCCTGGGTGGGAGCCGCCTTGGGAGGGGCCAGCCGCAGGGCTCCAGGTGGAGTCCCACGGGGCCTCGCCTCTGGGGCTCCCTAGAGGAGGAGGCCTGTGGGGGCTGAGCACCTGGGAGCCAGGCCTAGTGCCCTCCCCCCACCCCGCCAGGGCGCCTCGCCCCTGCAGGCCCTGGCTGTCCCCACCTCGTCATCGGGCTGGCTGGGGCTGCAAAGGGCAGCTATGGCTCCAGGGCAGAGCTAGCCTGGTTTAAGTCCCAGCCTCCGCGGGTTTCCAGCCCCCGTGTTGTGCCTTCACCATGGGGAACGGAAGCGAGGCCCCGCAGGGCCAGGGCAGGGGCCGCTGGGGGGTCCTGGGGACTGCCCTTGCCGGCCTCCCTGGGCCAGCCCCCCTGCGCCGGCCTCCCTGGGCTGCCTGGCTTTCCCAGCCTGGGACGGGCCCAGAGGCTCGGCCTCTGAAGAGCAGGACGATGGGGAGGCGGAGGCCCTAGGCGTGAAGAGCTCGCTAGGTCACCCAGCGGGTCCTCTGCCTCCCCGGAGTCCCCAGGGCGGTCAGAGGGCCCCGGGCCCCAGCCTGGGCTCACGGCCGTCTGTCTCCCACTCCGCAGGCCCTGACCCCGGCAGCCAGGTGCTGCCCGACTCCTTCCCGTCGGCGCCGGCCGAGCCGCTGCCCCACTTCCTGCAGGAGCCGCAGGACGCCTACCTGGTGAAGAGCAAGCCCGTGGAGCTGCGCTGCCGCGCCCGCCCCGCCACGCAAGTCTACTTCAAGTGCAACGGCGAGTGGGTCGGCCAGAAGGACCACGCCACGCAGGAGGGGCTGGACGAGGCCACTGGTGGGTCCCGCGGACCAGGCTCTGGCCTGGGCTCCACGCGCACTGACGCAGCCGCGACCCTCGGTCCTCAGATTCCCATCTGGGCGTCACCCTGGATGGGAATCTCCCCAAGGACAGGCCACGGGTCCCCGCCTGGCCTGGGGTGACATTGCCACATCCCTCCCACCTGCGTTTTCTTTCCACCTTCTTTCTCAGGTCAGGGGTCAGCTCTGGGGGGACTGGGATTCTGCCCCCACCTGGAGAGGGGCACCCCATCCACAGCCCTGGGCCCCGGGACACCCCCGAGAATCCAGGGCCCTCCTAACTTTCCAGGCCCTTCCTGTGGTGGAAGGGACCATTTTCCCTGCACACAAGTGACAGACCCCTATCCTGTGCTCGGGGCCAGCAGGGCTGGGGATTTGCATGAATGTCCTGAGTGTTGGGAGGCGCGACGCTGCGATGAGAAGCAGATGTCGTGCAGGTGGTGCTGGGTGCCCCCAAATCCCAGGAAGGAAGGAGGGAGAGGTGGCAGAGCCCGCTCCTCACCTCCCGAGGACACCCGGGGCCAGCAACCCCGTCCACAGCGCAGCAAGCCTGGGTGACAGGCTTGGCACCCCACGGGGACACTCACTGCTGTCCCCTGCAGCAGCCCCAGGCCAAGGGTGTCCCCGGCCCTAGTGGACTGCGGTGTCCGCAGCTTCCTTGAGCTCCCAGCTCCTCCCCACTGCCCGGCCCTCCCTTGACGTGTGTGTGTGTGTGTGTGTGTGTCCGTGTGTCCGTCCAGCCTGCCCTTGTGTCTCTCTTCTCTTTTCCTCTCTCCTCCTCTCTGTTTCTCCCTGTTCCCTCCGTTTCCCCCCTCCTTTGATTTCTATTTTGCATGAAAAACCTGTATTTGGGGTTCACCTAGACTAAAAACCAAACCCCAGAATGTACCAAGGCTGCCCAACTGTACGTTAGGGTTCCAACAGCACGTTGTTGGTTATGTGCATTTTACCACGATTCAGTTTTATAAAAAATAGATTGAAGCTACCATTCCTACCCCAAATCAAAACACTTTAAAGGCATGCGTGCAAACACACACACACAGACTCACACACACACACACTCTCACACCCCCCCAGATATTCTCATTCTCTAGCTGTGTGGCTGTGGGGAAGTCACCGACCTCTCTGAGCCCCAGTGTCAGGGGACCATATCTAGCACAAGAGATGGTAGACATCTGAACGCCAGTCTCCTCTGTCCTCTGGCCTGTATTAGAGGTCAGCCAGGGGGTCCAGGCAAAGCCTGGCCGCCTCCTGCCTGCTTGGCCCCGCTTGGATGACTCGCAGGAGTCATAACGGCCCGTGGCTGTCGGTAACGGTAACGGCAAGGCCCCTACTCCCTGCCACCAGGCACACAGAAATTGGGGCACTCTGTCCCCGTCGGCTGCACTTGTGGATGCGGCTCACAGGCCACTGTCGGGGAAGCAGTGAGGCCGGGTTGGCCGCGGCTCCTGCTCTGCACCCCAGCCCTGCCGTGCTCCTGGGGCCCCTGGGAGCACAGAGCTCTGGGCCAGGCCAGCAGGAGGGGACTCCCCAGCTCCTGCCAACTCATGCAGGTGGTCCCCCTGGATGTCCCGGCCACACGTGGCCTGCCACTCAGCCACCATACTTGGGAGACGTGGACAAGGTGCCGGGCTTACGGGGTGCGGCGGATACCTCCTCCACTGGGCCACCCTGGATTCCCGCACCTGATTCCCAGCTGGCGAAGGAGGGGCGCGGCCTGCTCTGTGGGCCCAGCAACTCTGATCTCGGAGCCGGCAGCCGGCACTGCAGGCCACCCTCTCTGACACACCACTGTCACCTCCTTTGCCATTGGGGCTGGGGCTCTCCTTGCTATTTGGGAGCCCACCTGTGACAATATGGGAGAGTGACAGCGATGACTTTATTGGGATGGATCCAGAGAAGTAGCGTGTTAGGGGACAGATCTCAACCTGGGCAAGATACAAGACAGCTGACCCCCACTCCACTGGCAGCTTGCTGGGGGACTTTGGGCCTGCCACTTACCCTCTCTGGGCCTCAGTTTCTCTGATGTGAAAGGAAGGGCTAAATAAGATCCAAACAACTTGCCAGAGTCAATTTGTGCCCAGCTGGGCTGGGTTCTGACAAGCTAATTGCCATGAGTCATTTAGAGTTTATCCTTTGTGTTTTACTATGATGGGAAATCAAGGCTCAGAGAGACTAAGTAACATAGTGAAGGTCACACAGCTGGGGAGTGAGATGGGGCCTGGATTCAAACCTGGCCAGCCATCTAACCACCGTGCCATGTACAGCAATGTATACAGTCGTGTCCTCAGGGACTTAACAATCCATGTGAGGATTGGATAGGATACATTCTGGTAAGGGGGTGCAGTCTTAGGAATTCTGAAACAGGAGGCAGACAGGGAGGCTTCCTGGAGGAGGTGGTCTTGGTCCTCCCACGAGTTTTGGGGAAGAGATTTGCAGAGGGATAGAATCTGCAGGGCCTGGAGGCCACATGGAGGGTCTGGGTCCTTCCACTGAAGGGTCTGGAGATGAGACCCCGGATGAGTGCCAAGCTCTCCAGGGCTGTTGGGTGGCATGTGGGATCCAGGCCAGGCAGGCAGTCGCAGCTGGGTGCAGTGACCAGCTGGTGGCTGTGGCCTGCCCCTGACCCACTCTCCCCCCCAGGCCTGCGGGTGCGCGAAGTGCAGATCGAGGTGTCGCGGCAGCAGGTGGAGGAGCTCTTTGGGCTGGAGGATTACTGGTGCCAGTGTGTGGCCTGGAGCTCCGCGGGCACCACCAAGAGTCGCCGGGCCTACGTGCGCATCGCCTGTAAGCTCCCTGGCCCCTCCAGGGCCTCTCCCTTCCCCTGGATGCCAGAGGAGGAGCCCACTTCTATGGCTGGAGATGCCCTCTGCGGACATTGGGAACCCGCCTGCAGGGTTCCTAGACCCAGAACTGGGCATTCCCGGTGGCCCTCCTCACCTGCAGAGGAAACTGCCAGCTTTCTCACCCACCTGGGCCGCCTGGGCCAGGGACCCACAGCTCAGGGAGGGACGTCAGCCGTTCCCTTGGCTGCACTGCCCCCTGGTGGCCATGGTGGGTACTTCGGGTGCCCTTCTACCCTCACCTGACTGTGCCCTCTGCCCTCCAGACCTGCGCAAGAACTTCGACCAGGAGCCTCTGGGCAAGGAAGTGCCCCTGGACCACGAGGTTCTCCTGCAGTGCCGCCCCCCAGAGGGGGTGCCTGTGGCCGAGGTGAGTGGGGACGTGGCAGTGCCAGGTAAGGCTGAGAGCAGACGGGTCTCACGCTTGTCACAGCCGCTGCGCCCATAGCCTCTCAGCCTCCCGTGTCACAGATGGGGAGAGGTTCAGAACCGAGAGGGGAGCCATCACCCCTGCAGAAGGTGGCACAGGCCATACCCCAGCAGGCCCTCCACCGGTGGGGACACCAGGGCTCCTTGGGCACCTGGGCCCCGTCTCCAGTAGGCCTTCCCACCCAGAACCAAGGCCCAGCTTTATGGATACCAAGGGGTCTCAGTGTGTCCCCGTGTGCACCAGCCCAAAGGCTGGTGACCTTTGCCCTCACCACCCGGCCCTTGGATCCAGGGCAGTGCCCCCACCCGTCACTTCTCGCCACCGTCCTCATGCTCCAGACACGTTCCCCGTCCTCACTCGGGCCCTGGGGGTGGGTCTCCTCCCAGACTGCCCCGCTCGAAGACGGGGCTCCCAGCTTGGTGCCCGGCCCGGTGGAGGTGCCTCCCTGGGTCAGCACTGTGGGGAGGACACAGATAGGACTGCAGCTCTGTTCGTGGCCAGACCCCTCCTGTCCCTCTAGGTGGGCTCACACCACCCCCCGGTAGGGGGCAGGCCCTGTGTCCTCACCACCCCCATTCCTACCCCACAGGTGGAATGGCTCAGGAATGAGGATGTCATCGACCCCACCCAGGACACCAACTTCCTGATCACCATCGACCACAACCTCATCATCCGCCAGGCCCGCCTGTCGGACACGGCCAACTACACCTGTGTGGCCAAGAACATCGTGGCCAAGCGCCGGAGCACCACGGCCACCGTCATCGTCTACGGTGGGGCTCTGCGGGGAGCGAACGGCCGAGGGGGGGAGAGGGCCTGGGGCTCTATGTCCCACCACCCTGCCCCAACCCAAGGCCAGGGGGACCCCTGATCAGGTGGGGAGGGGGCAGCCCTGAGAGGGGAAGTGAATTGCCCGAGGTCACACAGAAAAATCAGTGGCCAAGCCAGACCTTCCTGGGTTCCAAGTCGGAACTGGACCCTGGTCCAGAGCCCCTGGCCACCTGAAGAAGACCTCTGCCAGGCAGCTGGGGACTGCTGCCGGGATTCTGTGCAGCTCTCTGCTGACCCCTTGGCCTCAGGAGTGCAAGGGAAAGAGCCATAGTTAAGGTGGTTCTAGAATGTTCTAGAAAGAGTCCCATCCTGGGATGCAGCCCCAAGGCGAGTCCCAGGTCGCCCGCTGTGAGTGGGTGACCTGAGTAAGTGCTGGCCTCTCTGGACCTTTGTTTCTCATGGCATGATGGGACAGGGAGCAGACAGTGACCCCCAGGTCCTCCTGGTGCCCGTGTCACGGCTCAGCCTGCCCATGGAGGTCTCCGCAGAGAGGCGTGGGCTTGGGGGCCACAGTGACCCACAGCCAGGCCACCTGGGTGACGACTGCTGTCCCTACAGTGAATGGCGGCTGGTCCAGCTGGGCAGAGTGGTCGCCCTGCTCCAACCGCTGTGGCCGAGGCTGGCAGAAGCGCACCCGGACCTGCACCAACCCCGCCCCGCTCAACGGAGGTGCCTTCTGCGAGGGCCAGGCCTTCCAGAAAACCGCCTGCACCACCGTGTGCCCAGGTCAGGGCCGCTGGCCAGGTGGCACCCTGCCCACACCCAGCCCACCCCAACCCGCTTGCCTGCATGACATGCCAGAGTCAGGGCCACATTCTCCCCAGTGTCCACAGGGAAGGGGGCCGCCCAGGCTGGCCCAGAGCTCCCCTCTCTGACCTCTCGCTGGGCTGGGCTGCAGCTGAGATTGAGGTGGAGGCTCTGGGCTGCAGCCTGGGCCTCTTCCCTGCCCCTGGCCAGGGTTCCAGAGCTGCCATATACAAGTGTCGATGCACTCGGTCCACGGGGCCCTGTCCTGCTAGCAGTCTAACCCTCTGTCTCCTGCGTCCCCTTCTGCCTGCCCCTGCGTGTCTGGCTGTTTTCTCCCTGTGGCTGTGGGTCCGGGTGGCAGCGGGGCTTGTCCTCTGGGTTTGCAGTTGTGCATCTGGTTGTGTCTGAGCACTTCTGTGTTCTCTGTCCACCTGGTGCCCATGGCCGCTTGCTATCCCGAGGCTGCATGGCCGTGGTGTGGGTTTCTCTGTGGCTTGTCCCCCTGTCCCTCCTCGGAGGTGTGTGCACAAGCGCCGCTGTGTATGTACTGCGGGGTGACCGCGCCTGCACCTGCTCCTGCAGTGGATGGGGCCTGGACAGAGTGGAGCAAGTGGTCGGCCTGCAGCACCGAGTGCGCCCACTGGCGCAGCCGCGAGTGTATGGCGCCCCCGCCCCAGAACGGAGGCCGCGACTGCAGCGGGACCCTGCTGGACTCCAAGAACTGCACGGACGGGCTGTGCATGCAGAGTGAGTCTGGGGTAGGGGCCGGGGAGGACGCCCAGCCCGCCCACCCCGGTGCCAGCCCGCCCACCCCGGTGCCAGCCCCACCCCAGCCTCGCCTCCGCCCCCACAGCTGACCCTCACCTGCGCCGTGTCCATCGCCCTCTCTGCACCCTTTCTTGTCATCTGTGTCACTGGCTCTCCCTTTATTTCCCTCAACAGATAAGAGGACTCTAAGCGACCCCAAAAGCCACCGTAAGTCCGTCTCACAGTTGTCCTCTTTCACCCCACGGTCCTCCCTGGCTGGGGTTCCGGGTGTGGGGGCAGGGCAGGGAGATGGACGGCGCCCACCGTGCCCAGCTCCTGGGGCTCCTCCTGCTTCGGACGCTGCATGTCTGCCCTCCATCATGGGCAGGCAGGCGGGCCCTGGGCTGACGGGGAGGCCCGCAGAGAACCCTGGCTCCCCCGTGCCCGGCAGGAAACTGAGTCTCGGCAGGAAGGCGGGGCCTACCCGGGGACCCCCCCGGAAACAGCAGAACCAGAGCTTGAGCCCAGAATTTGTGGCCAAAGCTGGTGCTCTTAGCCCTGTGCCCTTGGCCTCCCTCTGTGGGGCAGGGCCCCACCTGTCCACCCCAGTGCCCTGTACTGCAACCCTGCAGCTGGGCCACACCTCCCAAGTCACCCCAGATGCCCACTGCCCTGTGTCCTGAGAGCCCTGTGCCCCTGCCCCACGGGTCCCCACGGGTCCCCACGGCCACGGAACTGCACAGTCCAGAGCAGTAAAGCGTCCGGCAGGCTGGCTGTGGTAACTGAAGTACAGCGTCCACGTAATTCTGGAATCATGAGACCAGCAGTGGGGCCCTTGGCCAGCCCCCTAGGGGACCAGGCTGGTGGCTGATTACAGAGTTTAAATCATGAGGCAAGTGGCCCCAGTGTGGGCAAGGACATCAGGTTCAGAGCCACACCACGCTGGGGAGCAGTGCCAGGAGCCTCGGGAAGTAGGAGCCCAGGCCTTCGAGGGACCTGTGGTCCACGGGGGAGCCCAAGAACGTGGACCACTGGGGGGCAGGGGCCAGGCAGCTGTCGGAAGTGAGCAGACGTCCAGGCGGAAGGCCATGGCCTACTGCAACATCAGGCTCGGGCTGACCCCCGGGGCTGGGGGAATCCGGGTGAGGGAAGTGGCCTTACCACTGAGGCCCACAGCACAGGGTGCTTCCTGGAGCTCCCAGAAGGGGCCAGCGGAAGAGCAGCCATTTCAACGGCTGCCATCTTGGCTTTGCCTGAGCTGGCCAGTGTGATAGTTCAGGCCTGGTCACATGTGGCTTTTGAAGGTTATATTTAAATAAATTAAACCCAAATCAGGGGAGTACCAGGGATTGAACTCAGGGGCCCTCGACCACTGAGCCCCCTCCACAGCCCTACTTTGTATTTTATTTAGAGACAGGGTCTCCCTGAGCCGCTTAGGGCCTCACTTTTGCTAGGGCCGGCTTTGAACTGGCCATCCTCCTGCCTCGGCCTCCCGAGCTGCTGGGATTACAGGTGTCCGCCACTGCACCCAGCTCCCAGTCAGTTTTAGTGAACTGATGGGGCTTTTGCTTCAGCCCGTTCTGTTGCTCAGTAGCCACATGTTCTGGTGGCTGCGTGCGGACACGGTAGACATAGAACATTGCCGCCATCATGGAAGGTTCTGTTGACCTTGCCTCCTGTGTCTTGACGCCTTCCTGCCTGGCCTTGGAGAGGTGTTCCCAGCTACAGCCTCCCCGTGTCACATGGGTCCATCCCATCGGTCTTCCACCACCCCCACTCCATGGCTCATGTCACAGCCACTCCCCCCCCCCCCCCCCCCCAGCAAAGCCCTTGGAAGGCACTTGTGAAGCCAGGACCTGTGGTCCTATGGCGAGTGCAGCAGGCTCAGAGTGAGACCCTAGTTCAAACCTCAGCTCTGATAGGACAGATCATGTGGCCAGCGTCCCCGAGTCACAGTCCCCGTCTCCCCAGCAGTAAGCAGTGAGTTCACTGGCGGGTGGAGGCTGGCCGGGGTCTGGAGACCATTTTACTAGTGTAGAGACTGGCTGGGGGCTGGGCTGGGGCTCGGTGGCAGAGCGCTTGCCTGGCATGTGGGAGGCCCTGGGTCCCCTCCTCAGCACCGCGTGTCAGTAAATAAAATAAAGGTCCATCGACAACTAAAAATGTATAAAAATACTTAGAGAGAGAGAGAGACTGACTGACTGACTGACTGACTGACTCAGAGGCTCCCAGGCTGGCCCGAGTCCCCAGCCTGCCATGGCAGACCTCAGTTGACCTCAGCACGGGGCCAGCAGGCCTGCCCCTCATGTAGCCCTCCTGTGTCCGCAGTCCTGGAGGCCTCAGGAGATGTGGCCCTGTACGCGGGCCTCGTGGTGGCCATCTTGGTGGTGGTGGCAGTCCTCATGGCCGTGGGCGCCGTGGTGTACCGCCGCAACTGTCGCGACTTCGACACGGACATCACGGACTCGTCCGCTGCCCTCACTGGGGGCTTCCACCCAGTCAACTTCAAGACTGCGAGGCCCAGTAAGGACCCGGGCAGCCGGGGGGGCGGGGGGCTGGGGATCTGGGGGTGCATGGCGGTGACCAGAGCCCAGGCTGCCTTCTCCCTCCCAGGGTTTCTCCAGAGCTTGCCCAGAGCTTCCCGCAGTGGGTGGCCATCGAGCCTTTGCAGCTGGACCTTGGGTGGGACAGGAGGGCGCCTATCCAGGATAGGGCAGGACCTGGCCAGCGGGGCATGCCTGTCTGACCGTCACCCCCCTCCGACAGGCAACCCTCAGCTCCTGCACCCCTCGGTGCCCCCCGACCTGACAGCCAGCGCTGGCGCCTACCGTGGGCCAGTGTACGCCCTGCAGGACGCGGCCGACAAGATCCCCATGACCAACTCGCCCCTGCTCGACCCCCTGCCCAGCCTCAAGATCAAGGTCTACAGCTCCAGCACCACTAGCTCCGGGCCCGGCCGGCCAGACGGGGCCGACCTGCTGGGAGTCACCTACCCGCCGGGCACCTACCCTGGCGACTTCTCCCGAGACGCACACTTCCTGCACCTGCGCAGCGCCAGCCTGGGCTCCCAGCAGCCCCTGGGCCTGGCCCGGGACCCGGGCAGCAGCGTCAGCGGCACCTTCGGTTGCCTGGGCGGGAGGCTCAGCATCCCGGGCACAGGTGGGCCTGTCCCCTGCCCCTCGGCCAGTCCTCTGCACAGCTCACCACCCAGCCAGCAGAGGACAGGGCTTCCCTCCCTCCATTTCTCAGGTGGGGACAGTGGGGTTCAAGGGCAAGAGGGGACAGTAAAATAGAGGTGCCAACCGGAAGACCCGGGGTTCAGTCCTCCTCTGCTCCTTCCAGGCCAGGGGCACCTTGGGTAGCCACTCGCAGAGGCTCACCGTCTCTGTTGGTCGGGGACAGTTCAGCAGCCCTGCAGAGCACTGTCCCGGGTTCCAGTGCAGAAAGGGCGCCCACCTCGGTGCAAAACTGGTCATCAGCACCGTCCCGCCTTTGCCCTGAGCTAGGTGTGAGGGGCCCGATGCCTTCAGGCACCAGGCAGTGTCGAAGGCCCTGTGTAGTGGACAGGCCCGCAGTGGCCATGACTTGGCCTCTCCTTGCATCCAGGCCCCATCTCCCTGTCCCTGGCTGGTGACTGCTTGGCACTCGGATGTCTTTCCCTCTCTGCCCTGTGCTAGCCACCTCCCAGCCCTGTTCTCCTGACTCCCTCCCCCCTCGCCCCCTCCCTGCTGACCTCCCTCTCCCCCCAGGGGTCAGCCTACTGGTGCCCAATGGAGCCATTCCCCAGGGCAAGTTCTACGAGATGTACCTGCTTATCAACAAGGCGGAAAGCACCCTGTGAGTAGAGAACCACCCTACCCCGGCTGCCCCGCTCTGCCTCCCTCTCCGCCACCTGCCCATAAATCATAGAAGTGGAGAGTGGTTGACAGACAGGTTACAAATAGGACCAAGGGCTAATATCCTCACTATGTAAAAAGCCTTTATAAACTAATAAGAAAAATTGAACATCTCAAGATGAAAATGAGCAAAGGATATGAACCAGTGATCTCTCTCTCCTCCCCACCACCACACACAGTGACCTGTAGTTTATGAGAAAACATTCTACCTGATTCGTAGTCGAAATTAATGAATATCCGTGAGATATCGGGAATTATTTTTGCTTAAGGAATTCACAAGGATTTTTTTTTTCTCCAAACAATAATATCTTCATCCTCCCAGAGCCCAGGCACGTAGCCCTCCATGGCGTGATGGTGGGAGCACAGACTGGTACCAGCCTTCTGGAGGGTGATTTTGCCATATCTGTTAAGAACGTTCCCGCCAAGTGCGGTGGCGCAGATCTATAATCCTAGCCACTTGGGAGGCTGAGGCAGGAGGATTATGAGTTCAAAGCCAGCCTCAGCAACTTATCATTGAGGCCCTAAGGAACTCAGCAAGACCCTGTCTCTACATAAAATATAAAAAGGGCTGGGATGTGGCTCAGTGATTAAGCACTCCTTAATCAATTGAACCAGGTTCAATCCCTGGTACCAAAAAAAAAAAGTTCCCCAAATTGCAGAACCTTTGAAGCCGTGTGCTAAGGCTTGGTGGTGAGAGTGCTCTGGTGTGACCACAAAACTCTGGAAACAACTTTAAGGTGTGCGCCATTTCCTCTGCCTCCTCCGTCCCCAAAACCTCGGGGTCCGGAGCTCAGTGGCAGAGCCTTGCCCTCGGCCCAGGCTGTGGGCAGAGCTGGAGGCTCAGAATAGCCTGTGCCCTTGCGAGTGCTCAGCCTCCTCTCACAGCCTCCTTCCTGCCCTCTGCTTGGCCCCAGCCCGCTGTCAGAAGGGACCCAGACAGTACTGAGCCCCGCGGTGACCTGCGGGCCAACGGGCCTCCTGCTGTGCCGCCCGGTCATCCTCACGGTGCCCCACTGTGCAGAGGTCACTGCTGGCGACTGGATCTTCCAGCTCAAGACCCAGGCCCACCAGGGCCACTGGGAGGTGAGGAGCCCAGGCTACCCGACCTGCCGGGGAGGCCCGCGGAGGCCCGCCAGGATGCCCAGGGCCGGTGCACTCCAACCCTCTGTGCCCTGCAGGAGGTGGTGACCCTGGACGAGGAGACCCTGAACACCCCCTGCTACTGCCAGCTGGAGGCCAGGTCCTGCCACGTCCTGCTGGACCAGCTGGGCACCTACGTCTTCACGGGCGAGTCCTACTCCCGCGCGGCCTGCAAGCGGCTGCAGCTGGCCATCTTCGCCCCGGCCCTGTGCACCTCCCTGGAGTACAGCCTCAGGGTCTACTGCCTCGAGGACACGCCCGTGGCCCTGAAGGTACAGCCAGGCCTCGGCCCAGCCTGGCACCCGGCCAGCTGCCGGCTTCCTTCCTGCCACAGCCCCAGGCCGCAGCCCCAAGCGGGAGACAGGCAGAGGCTCTCGGGGCTCCTGCTGGTCTGCGGGAGGGCAGATGGGGAGGGTGACCTCACACCTGAGCCCAATACAGCGGGGAAGGGCATCCAGACAGCAGCACTGCTGCCACCAGTGTGGCGTTCAGCCTGAGCAGAGTGCCAGCCCCCTGCCCCTCCCTCCCTGGGCTGTGGTCCATCCTGGGCTTGTGGGGGACTGTCAAGCTCCATGTTGTGGGCTGAGGCATCATAGGTGAAGGGCCGGGGGGACAGGGTCTCCTGCTGGGACCACCCGTCTGGAGCCCAGGCGGCCCGGGAAGGGCTGGAGGCTGCTGGGGAATGCTCTTAGGCCCGGATCTCTTGGTGCTGGGCACTGGCTGGTCCACTCTGGCCAGAGAACAGTGTGGAGATCAAGACAAAAGGTCTACTGACGGGCTTGCTTCTTAAACCCTCGTCTGTCCGTCCATCCATGTTGAGTTCTGTTCGTGGGCCTACTCGGTAACAGCCCGTTGTCCCCCGCCATCTCCCTTCCATTCGTTTATGTTTCCTTCCAAATATCCCTCTATTCACGTCCCACCCATTTCCACACCGACTTCCACAGCCTTCTTTCTCTTCCTGTCTGTCCGTGCAGTTCTCCATCCGTCTGTCCACACCGTCAATCTCCCCCCACCCCCAGCCATCTATAGGTCCACCCACACATCCATTCACCCAAAGCACTTGCTCACGGGTCCCCCGGGTCCTGCACGTGCTCAGGTGGGTCCCTGCGCCCCACCCCTCAGCCGCTAGTGGAAGGGGCCCAAGGCCAAGCCTGATGCAGTCCCCTGCCCCCGCCCCGGCCGCAGGAGGTGCTAGAGGTGGAGCGGACGCTGGGGGGCTACCTGGTGGAGGAGCCCAAGCCCCTGCTGTTCAAGGGCAGTCACCACAACCTGCGCCTCTCCCTGCACGACGTCCCCCATGCCCACTGGAGGAGCAAGCTGCTGGCCAAGTACCAGGTGAGGCCCCTGGGGGGCCTGGGGGCACCCAGCTGCTCCTGCCTCACCCCTCACGGCTCTCACGCCCTCTGTCTTGGCCGGCCGGTCTCCGTGCCGTCCTCAGGAACACCCCAGCCTCCGGGCCCGAGACAGCCTGTCACTCTCCCACATCACACAAAGCCCACACCCGTCGTCCTCAAAGAGGCCTCGCCACCTGAGTGTGCGTGCCTGGCCAACTGTCCTGACTGCGCTGCCCCACCCTGCAGCCGGGGACCCCATCGGCTCCCTGAGGTGTCCCGGCTCAGACACCCACGCACCCCCCCTCAGCCAGCCAGCTTAGGGGCGCTTCACAGCTCTTCTCCCCTTTCCTTCTGGGGGGGAGACCTGAACGCCCCGGAGGGCCCCGCCCTCCTGGCCTCCAGGCCCCAGAGAACTGGCTTGGCCCTGACCCCTGCCTCCCGCAGGAGATCCCCTTCTGTCACATCTGGAGTGGCAGCCAGAAGGCCCTGCACTGCACGTTCACCCTGGAGCGGCACAGCCTGGCCGCCACCGAGCTCACCTGCAAGATCTGCGTGCGGCAGGTGGAAGGGGAGGGCCAGATAGTCCAGCTGCACACCACGCTGGCCGAGGTGAGGCGGGGCTGCGGCACACGGCCCCGGGGTCCCCCTCCCGTGGGCAGAGATGCGTCTCCCACAAAGACATCTCGCCTTCACCTCCCAAGTCAGAACAGGCACTTGGTTAACAACCATCACTGTGCGCCATTCCTGTGCAAGGTACATGTGACCAGGTGACACACATCACCTCACTAAATCGGCACAACCCCAGGGAGACAGTTGATGGTCCACGTCTGGAAGATGAGGAAGCAGGTTTTGGGGAGGGCAGGTATCCCACAGTCACAACAGCAATGGGACTGGGTTTGCACCCAGGTCAGCACAAGGACAGAGCCACCATGCTCAGCCACTGTAAATCCAGACTGAGGTTAAAATCCCAAGCCACCCAGGGTGACGATGCTGCTCCTCCTCCTCAGTGCAGTAGAAAGAGCCCTGCACCAGCTCTGCCTCCCACTAGCATGGGACCCTGGGCACCTGGCTCTGCCCCCTCTGGACTGTATTTTCCTCATTATAGAAACTGGTCTGCGTGGGCTGCACTGTGGTGGGGCTCCTCGGGTTCCTGACCACCCGTCAGCCTTAGCCAGGAGCAGGCACCTACGATGACAATAGAAGCCTATGGTGACACACCCCTGCTGGCTGAGGAGCAGCCACACGTCCTTGGGCTTGGGAAGGAGTCTGCTCCTGGGGGAAGAGACCCTGGCCTGTGCAGCTGCCGGCTGCCCCAGGGAGGGGCGAGGCCCAGCCTCTGAGCTGCTGTCCAGGGCAGGGAGCCCAGAGCAGCAGATGCCCAGCACCGTGGCCCTCTTTCCTCACCCTCCAGACTCCTGCTGGCTCCTTGGATGCCCTCTGCTCTGCGCCCGGCAGCGCCGTCACCACCCAGCTGGGACCCTATGCCTTCAAGATCCCGCTGTCCATCCGCCAAAAGATATGCCACAGCCTCGATGCCCCCAGCTCGAGGGGCAGTGACTGGCGGCTGCTGGCGCAGAAGCTCTCCATGGACCGGTGAGTGTCCGGGACCAGAGCCCAGGTGGCCTCGTCCTCGGTCTGGTAGGCAGGGGTGGCATCAGTCTCCACCATTGGTGGCAGGTCAGGAGCTCGGTTTGGATGCGCTAAATCTGGGGATGCTGCTTCGGGGTGGAGGGTCGAGCTCTGAGCGCCAGCCTCCGAGCCAGGCAGGCTGCGGACCACCTCACTCTCCAGGCTGTGCCTTCCCACCGTGGTCTGCAAAATGCCCCACCTGCCCATCTGTGGGACGACCTGAGAATCAGACCAAGCCCAGGCACCAGCTAGATGGGGTCACCACCAGCACCTCAGTGCCAGGGACAGAGCAGATGCCCCCAAAACACTTGCCCAGTGACAGAACACACCTCGGTGTCAAACTGATTGTGAGGCTGGGGCTGGGACTCAGTAGTAGAGTGCTTACCCCACACGTGGGAGGCCCTGGGTTCGGTCCTCAGCACCACGTAAAAATAAATGAATAGATAAGGATAATCCGCCTGCAACTAAAAACAAATATTTTTAATTAAAAAAAAAAAAAAAAACCTCTTTGTGAGAACTTCCAATGCTAGAGGCCTATGATGACAAAAGTGACTCATTGAAAAATGTCCACCCTGCCCCAAGCAGGTGCCGTAGACAAGATGTCTTACAGAAATGACGAGTGAGGACTCTCAGACGGCGCAGGCCCTGTTCCTGCTCTCGGAAGTCCACGGGGCAAGACCAGGCAGGGAATAAAGGGGGAGGAAGCCCCGTGGGTGGCGCAGGCCTGTCACCCCAGCAGCTTGGGAGGCAGAGGCAGGAGGATCGCAAGTTCAAAGCCAACCCCAGCAACTTAGTGAGACCCTGTCCCCAAATAAAAATGGCTGGGGATGCTGCTCCGTGGTAAAGAGCCCCTGGGTTTAATATCTGGTACCAAAAGAGAACCGGGCAGAGGCAGAGGAGAGACTGGCCATGTCGCCCCGTCCCCAGCCCGCCGAGCCCGTGGACAGGACCAGAGAAGCCTAGACCCTTGCTTTGTGTGAGCGTGGATCCTGTCTGCCATGCCAGGAATGACTGACAGGTTCCCATTTAAGAGACGAGACTGAGGCTCCGAGAGGGCCACTGACTTGCTGGGGCCACTCCACCCGCTGGGATTCAGACCCAGGACTACGGGACGCTGGAGCCCACAGTTTCCCACCTCCTGTGCTTCCTCCACCCCAGGCTCCGGGGAGGCACTGAGCGCTCCCGGTGCCACATGCCCCTCTCCTTCCCACTCCAGGTACCTGAATTACTTTGCCACCAAAGCGAGTCCCACGGGCGTGATCCTGGACCTCTGGGAAGCTCTGCAGCAGGACGACGGGGACCTCAACAGCCTGGCGAGTGCCTTGGAGGAGATGGGCAAGAGCGAGATGCTGGTGGCCATGGCCACTGACGGGGACTGCTGAGTGCCCAGAACCACGGGCCATCAGGGACAGGCGGAGGCCGTGCACGGAGGCCGGGGCAGCCTCCTCATGGAGGCCGACAGTGGAGTTGCCCCCGCTCCTCCCCCGTCCGACCACAACCAGCCTTAGAAAAGCCACGCCCTGCGCTGCCCAAAGGGCCGGTGCTCCTAGCCTGCTGCCTCCCCTGGCATCACTCCCCATGGGAGCTGGGGCAGGCCCTGGGCACTTCTCGGGGCCAGGAGGTGGCCCTTCCTCCACCCACCTCCTGCGTCCCTGGGGTCGGTTCCGTTCTCACACTCCCTCTCCCTCCGCCGCGGACTCCTCCAGCCCCACTCCCTCTCCCTCTCCCCCCGGTCCCCACAGTCCAGGCCATCGCTCCCCGTCCACAGGCAAGAAGGGAAGGAGGGCAAGCAGGCGCCTCGGGCCAGCAGGGCCAGGAAGAGAAACGCCCCCCAGGGAAGGGAAAGCCCAGTTTCTTAGGAAACGCAAACCATTTTTATCCAGATATTTGGATAGGTCCTTTTTAAGAAAAAAGAAAAAAAAAGGAACAAAAAAAAAAAATGGAAAACTTTTTCCCCCCAGTACAGGTGAGAGTGGGTGTGTTCTGTCCGAGTGTGTGTGTGCGTGTGTCAGGGAGAGACTGAGCGGATTCTGAGACTGAAGGTCTCTGCTGCTGAGGGATCTCTTTGGACTAAAGGCTGACGAGGCCTCAGTTCCCCAGCGGTGAAGGGAGACGGTCAGGCAGGCTCTTGGCCCTGAGTTGCCCCCAGGGACAGGGACAGGGCGCTCCCACAGCCCGCAGACCCCAGGAGGAGCAGGTCGGGGCCCGGGCAGCTGTGGCCGGGCGAAGGCCCTTCTCTCTTCCTGGTCTGGTGGCTCCTGGGAGGCGTGTGGCCTGGAGTCACACGCTCCAGGACCCCTCCTTCCTGGGGAGGGGCCTGGGTCACTGCAGCCCCACCGCAGCCAGCAGTCTCAGACCAGGGGACTCCTGACACCCAGGACCCACGGTCTGCCCTTGCCCAGCCTCTGCTCCCGTGCAACGGAAGGGGCTGTCAGAGGCCTGTCACCCCACATGGCTCTGGGGTGGCGTTGGGGCAGGTGTTGCTATCAGCCTGGGTGGGGAGACCGCATGTCCCTCAGGAGTGTCGGGGGGAGTCCAAGCCCCACCTCTGATCCCAGCAGGCGCCTCCTTCAACCCCCATCACTGCTGTGTGGAAGTGGGTGGGGCTCCCAGGATGGAGGAGCTGCCCCGCCAGCCTGTTCTGGAATGTTCCAAGGGCCTCTAAGGAGAAACGAGTTCCCGGCCCCTTTTGGCCTGACCACAGGGCAGAGACCAGGACCTCACGGTGGACAGGGGGTTCATCCAAGGCTCCTCCCCCTGGGTCCCCGAGGCAAGGCAGGGGTCAGTCTTGGCACCTCGGCCTTTGCCACTTTGGTCTCCTGAGAGGGGAGCAGGTGTTAGGGCTGCGGTCCCAGCATGTCCCCAGCCTGGCCTCCCTGCAGTGGACCTGGGGGCTCCTGGGGCTTCTTCCCCCCACCACTGGAGCGGGGTTGGCCACAGGCAGGGGAGGCCTGCTGGAGGCTGTAGAGGGGATTCCTTCCCTGGGCCTGTGCTGGGGTCGGCCGGGTTCTGGGCTCTGGCCCAGGTGGTTCTGTGGCGCTGCCTTAGGGCTGCAGTGAGCCTGTTGTACCAAGAGCGCCAGCTCCTGTGGGTTGCCCCCGCCCCACGCCACTGTTTACCAGCACAGGTGAGGGCCTCTTCCTGTCTGGAGATCACAGACCATGGTGGGCTCTGCTGGTGCTGCCCCCTCACAGGCTCTAAAACACCCACCTGCAGCTCAAGAGCAGGAATTAAGTTCCATCTCTGCGGTGAAATTGCTGTGTGACCTTAGGTACATCACTGCCTTCTCTGGGCCTAATATCCTTTTTATGCCTAGAAGGCCCTGCAGCTGTCTGAGGCCCACACCATTCTCTGGGTTTTGGAAGGGACCCCTCATGGCTAAAGTTGACCACAATCTGCCTGCTATGTCCCCTCCGCCTCCCAGGACAGGGGCTCTTGGTGGTGGTGGGGGCAGCCAGCCAGTTCCAATCTGACTTCCAGAAATTATGGACCAGAGCCTGGAGCTCAGAACCCACCGCCTGGGCCCTTCCAGCAGTCGTCCCCACACTGCCATCTTGGGGTGGGGTCGGAGGCGGCTCTGACTCCTTCCTGAGGAGCAGCCTGGGTGCTGTCCCCGTCAGCAGCGTGGGTGCCGCAGGGGCCTGTCAGGGCCGCACAGGGGTGTCCCGTCTTGTCCCTTCGGTGTGTGTGCGCATGCGTTTCTCCCTGGGCACAGGATGCCCCTCTGGGAAGCTGCGCCTGTCCCCACCTGCGTGGGGGGCGTGGCCTCCTCTCCGCCCCAGGTTTGCACACCTGGAGGTGGGGACCCTTCTCTGTCCCCCCAAGTCCACAGGGTGTCAGTGCATCTCCTACGTGCCTCTGCCTTCCCTGCCCCGGGCTTTAGCACCCGGGCCAGGGGCCGCCTCATCTCCTGGACCAGCCAGGCCCCCCAGTCCCCTTCCCCAGCTCCCAGGCAACTGAGCCGGGTCCCTTAGGCCTCTGAGGACAGGTGACCGGAGCCTGGGAAGGGGGCCGCTGTCCTTGGGACAAAGGGCTGGACCCCTGCCTGGGCCATGGGCACCGTTCTATGTCCAGAGGGGCACAGGACCCAGGGATGGCCCCCGATGCCCCCTGTGTTTATTCTGTAAACGCCAACCTGTACATAACGTTCAGCATTCCTATTGTAACAAAATTAATTTTTATGAAATAAATTATATTTCCTAGTCTAATAAAAAAGTCCAAGTCGTGTGCTGTCTTCTTGACATCTGTCATCAGCAATCGGGAAGGGTGGCACTGTGGGTCTTCAGCTCTGAGCCCTGCACGTGATCACACCCATTGTGCAGAACAGAAAACTGACACAGAGAGGGAAAAGGACTTCCCTACGACCCCACAGTGAGTCCCGTGGCTCTGCACCTGGGCCCTGTGCTGTCGTGCTGCCCGCATGCAGGATCATGGAACTGTTCAAGGCTCATTTGAGTCTGCCAGGGGCTGGGTCATGGGTTGAGAGAGGCCCCAGCATCCCTGCCTCCCGGTGCAGAAGAGACCTCCGGGGGCTGAGGCAGAGGGGTCAGTTCAGAGCCCTCACCTGGGCCAGGAGAAGAGTATGCAGGGAGACAGGGCTGAAGGGCAGACTGGGCTCCTGTGACTTTGGTCCCCGGGCTGCCATGCATGGTTGGGCTGGTTACGCACTGGACAACAGCAGCCCACGGAGTGGGCGAGGCACCACCCACAGGCAGCAGAGAGCTGTGCACTTACTGTTTCCAGCAGACGGCAGCAGAGTCTTGTTCTAATAAAATTAATACAGTGCTGTCAAGTTTCCCGAGGCGGAGGTAACTGGGGATGGGGGAGTCCCCTTTTCTATTTTTTACAAAGATGCCATATTATTGGTGACAGGCCATTTAATCTGGTCCCCTCTGTGACATGGTCCTCAGGTTTCCTTGGGTGAGTTGGAGCTGGACCCACATTTCCCAGCATGCACTGTGTCTCTGAGGAGAGCCTGTGGTCTCCTAAAGTCTGGGGTGAGTGCCCCTCTGGCCCCTTCATGGAGAGTCCCAAAGCCCATCAGCAGGTGGAGGGCCAAAGTCCCGTGAAGAAGCTGCTCTCCTGGGACCACCCGTGTCAATGGTGTATTTGGCCATGGAACTCAACCTGCTCAGGCCCTGAAGTGCGTGGTGCCCACGGTCCCTGCCAGCCCTGACCTCCTGGAGCCTGTCCCAGCCATCCCTCTGTGTGGGGAGCATGTGCTGTGGGCGGGTCTCAGTTACCAGTTACCAGGAAGTTACCAGGACAGGCGGACCTGCTGTCTGAGGGAGCAAATGGCCTTGTAGGGAGGCAGAGCCCTGGACAGTGTGTGTGTGTGTGTGTGTGTGTGTGTGTGTGTGTGTGAGAGAGAGAGAGAGAGAGAGAGAGAACACGCACAAGGGAGAAGGAGGAGGGGACACACCCCGCCCAGGGGGGCTCAGACACTGTACCAGCTGGGCGCAGTGACACACACCTGTAATCCCAGTAACTCAGGAGGCTGAGGCAGGAGGATGGCAAATTCAAGGCCAGCTGAGCAACTTAGTGAGACCCTGTTCAGAGTAAAAAGTAGAAAGAGTTGGGGACATAGTTCAGTCATATAGCGTCCCTGTGTTCCATTAAAAAAGAAGGAGAAGGAGAGAGAGAGAGAGAGAGAGAGAGAGGAAGGGAGGTCGGTCTCATTGTGGTTGCTGAGAGTCCACCGTCCATCTTGGAACTCCCCGACTCTGAGACCCCTGTCAGGCAGGCCCCGGGCCCAGGGCTGTCCATGCCCAGCCTCCTGCTGCCCCCCACCCAGCAGCAACCCGAGCCCCCTCCCGCTGTGGTGGGAAGCGCCTGTCCAGTCCCTGCACGGGGAAAGCCCAGCCTTCCTAGAACTGGCCCAGGAGTCCCCATTCCTGGCAGGACGCTGCGTCTCCCATACCCCTGCCCTGCATGGACGGAGGAGCTGGAGAAGAGGGACCCCAGGTGCTGGCTTTCCAAGGTGTAAGCTGGGAAGGGGGTGGGGTGGAGGTCCAGGCTTCCTTGTCAAGGAGTCGTTCCGAAATCCATCAGCCCCTCCTAGGTCCCAGGACTCCACAGCCACACCTGGAGGTGGGCAGGCAGGTGGGCAAGGGGCTGTGGAGGCTCAGCGCGGCCCCGACTGGGCCCGGCATCAGAGAGGCTTTCTGGAAGGTTTGATGTCTTACACATTGGATGGCTTCTCTGAGACGTGGATTCTCGGTTAGCCAATGTGTGGAGACACAGAGGCAAAGGTCACAGCCACCTGTCCCCCGCCCGGTACTAGGCACTGATCCCAGGGTGCCTTACCACTGAGCTGCATCCCAGGACTTTTTATTTTGAGAGAGGATCTCACTAAGTTGCTGAGGCTGGTCTCCTGCCTCAGCCTCCTGACTCACTGTGATTGATCCTGGGTCTATGGACAAAGTTCTGAGGCCTGGTTTCTGTGGCCGACCCCAATGTCAAGGTGGTGTGGGCCATCCCATGAGACTCAGCCACTTGCTTTTATGAAATTTCTTACTAAGAGAAGATGCTGATGTCCTTTTGTAAGTGACAGACTAGACGTGAAGGCTGCTGTCTGCCAGGGTGCTGAGACTGTGTGTGTCTGAGAGAGAGAGAGAGAGAGAGAGAGAGAGAGAGAGAGAACTTGGCAACACTAGTTACCCAGGAATTGGGGACGGTGTCAGCAGGTGCACCAGGAGTCGGTGCCATCTCTGCAGCCCTATGGAGTGGCCCAGCCCAGTCGCTGGGGACGGAACATGCTCCACCTGGTTCCTTAACTTAAGAGGCCTCCCCAAGGCAAGGTCGGTGATTCCTGGAGAC